ATATGGAAAGAACAAGCAAAGCATACAAGTAAAGTAAACCCTTGATTTAAAGGGCTAATAAGAGGGAGTGTGGGTAACCACTGATGGTGAATCTTTATGGCAATTGTGAAGGATATAGAAGAGATGTTTTTGTCATAATCGTAACAATAATGGGCAATTTTGTAACCAATGTTTATGAATCTATTGCCCTAATAAATTTTGACCCATATTTCCCAAATGCATGAATTGAATGGAGACAAGTGGCTTTTAATGGACATGAAAAGTGTTCAGGGAAACCAGTTAGCTGGACTTAGAGTCCTGTAGGTAGGAAGTGCAGTGCCTGCACCCTGAATAGGTGAGGATGCTGCAGTCAGAGGATAATCTGAATTGTGGTGTTAGCACACTTCTATCAAGACAGTGATTGAATGAATGATGGCAAATGTCTTTTCTCTTTTGGGTCGTCTGCCTTGGAAGGTGTGGTGCACACCAAGAAGTTACATTTTATCCGACATTTGTCACATAACCACTGGCTTGCCCTCTTGACCATTGAACTGGTAATTCAGAGAATACAGTAGTGTGCAAATTAATTGTGACAGGAGTAAATTTTATGATTATCTCATAATATGTCCTAATCTCTGGCTTAATTAAGGTAGTTTGGGCTCTTTTCTTTTCAAAAAAGTTTGCTACTGACTTCTGGCAACTATCCAGCCAAGGTGTTACCCTGTGGCTCTTGTCAGTGCCACAACAGCTGCTGTTCTGTAAGGCTATTCCTGCAAGCATGCTCTGTGAGTTAATGTGGTTTCACCAAATTACCCCCTTCAATTCATGATTATTGCTGAAATTCACAATGGATGTTACACCTAGGAATTATCGTAGCTCTTAGAAAACATGCTGATTTGAGTTATCAGACAGATGGCTGAAAATTTGGGCCTCGCAAAGTCAACTGTTGGTTGGATTCCGAAGACAGCTGATGACATTGGGGGATTGTGGAGCTCTACATTGAGGAAGATGTGGAAGAAAATGCAAGACAACACCTCATGATGACAAGGTTATCATAAGAAATAGTGTGGGGGATCCTAATAAAACCAGCAAAGATCTACAGAAACTTGGGTTTAGCAGGCATAAATGCTGATTTTTCAACTGCTTGACGAAGGTTCCATGACGTTGGAAGAACTACCAGAAAGCTGGTAAAGAAACAATTATTGACTGCTTCTGTGAACAATAAATGGCTGAAGTGGGCACTCGATCATAACAAATGAATGGAGAAAAGCTATATTTTCAGATGAGGCAATTTGAAAGTACATGGGTAAAGATCAGTGGTAGCGAGACAAACCTAAAGCGAATGTCTTTGGAATGGACACATTCAACAAGCGTTAAAACAAACATCTAAGAAAATGTTTTATGTTAGTTTTACTGCTAAGACCCTGGACAGCTTGTTATTGCTGAGGGAATGATGAACAGTGAAAAAATCAAGGAAATCCTGGCAACTCATTTGCTTCCCACTGTAGACAGAGACTTTCCTGATGGAAAAGACATTTTCCAGCTGAATCTTGCTTCATGTTACACTTCCAGAAAAATGCTGACATTCTTTGAAGAGAGTGGGTGGAGCATTTTAAATCGGGATGGAAACTCTCCTGACCTCAACCCAATTGAGAAAATATGGACAATAACCAAAAGCAGGATCATGAAACAGGACTGTGCAACTGTAGAGAAGCTAACTGCTGCTGATATTAGGACCTGGTACCATGACAAAGAACTTGCCAAAATGTATTCAACATTTATCAATTCTACGCCAAAGTGTATAGCAATGATTATAAAAGCAAAGGGTAGTCATATGTCTTTTTAAAACAATTATCCGTCATATCATTGCCCTGTATTTTTCAAATAAACATTAATTTTTCATATAAATATCTTATTTCATCACTGTCCCAATTAATATTCACACTACTGTAGCAGTTCCAGGACCCCACTGTGGTATTTACTGTCCAGTTCAACCCACCAATCAGGTGAGAGAATGCTTCCTTAGCCAAGATGACATCGAATTTGTTTACCTGGCTGGGAGGCAGACTTTTGCCAACTCCGGTCGAAATCACTCACTCCTTTGAGCAGCTCCTGGCTGTCTCATCATTATACTGCTAATTTAATATCTTACAGTTGCAAGTATTGTAAATAAGTGGTGAAGGAATACATAAGTAAAGAAATCTACCCCTGCTGTGTTTGCCTTGCCCGTGTCTTCCCTGTTGACTGCTATACTGATGATTTTGTTTACACTCAAGTGCTATGGGCCTTGAACTGTTACCAGTGCTCGTAACAGAGGGAGACGGCTGTTGAAGTTAAAAAAAAAAAAAAAAAAAAAAAAGAATCTCAAGTCCATCAAATCAAGAGTTTACTGTATAAGTAGACTGCAGAGTGTATTTTAACCTTTTGACTGTCACAACCCCAAACCCTGAAGTGTCTCCTGGTGTCGCAAAATATTTGGAAAAAAAAATATTATTTTTTCTTATGAAATGATAGAGAATCTTTTCCCGATGATAATGACACCAAAAGTACAAAATTTGATGGAAAACTTATGGAATTACGCTCTTGCAAAGTTAGGAACCTCTGCAACATTTACGCATCGGCAATTTCGCCCACTTTGAGCCCTATTTTCGGCCAATTCCATTGTTCCAGTCAACCAAACTCATAGCTATTTCTTTATAACTCCATTTGTTCTATCGAATGAGTACAAGAAACTGCCCATTTACTGATTTCAACTATCCAATAAAGTGGTCAGAATTTGGCAATTTAGCCAATTTCATGCATATTAAAAAATATGTCAGTTTCAAAATAGGGTCCAGAACGAACAATGGAGACATTCCTGGCACTAAAATATAATTTTCTCTGTTCACCAGTCATGTCTCCAGGCCCCTGTTATAATACTCTTGCTTTCTATTTTGAATTTTTATTCACACAAAAAATAGAAGATTTACTGTTATGCAAACTACTGCAATATTGTAATAATTGTATAAATAACATTAACCCATTCATGACTGCGTATCAGAATGGCTAGTTGGACATTTATTGGATAATGACGTCATTTGTTTACTCTTGAACATCGGCAAAAAATCAAACATTTCTGCCACTTTGAGCTCTATTTCAAGATTCTTTTCATAGTAAAACCAATCAAAATCACTTCTATTTCTATAATATGTTTTCCAATCTATCAAATGAGACCAAGAAAACAAGAATAAAACCATAAATACTATACAAAAATACACCTCAAAGTCGGCGTTTTAATCCAAAAACAGGGTCGGAGTTTTTTTTTTATCATTATGCACTGCGTGCTGCAGGATTTTTTTTATACTGCGTACACTGACCACACAGACCCATTCTCTCACATGTGGGCCTACCAGCTTTCTCCTGCTTGATATAAAGCCGCTAGAATTTTTCAGTATATATATGTCAAACACATTGGCTCGTAAGACGTATATATATGACCGAAACAGTCAAAGGGTTAAGAAAGATTACACAAATGTGGGTCATTCAGCATAAGAAGCATTGGAGACTTAATCACACAGTCACTAAAAGCAATGAAGTTTCTTATCAGCCAGGCTGTTGGTGCTTGACCAATAAACTGCATGTGCTGTTCAAAATACCTATATACAATGGATAATATCAAGTTAATGGCAATTGTGTTAAGTTTACATCAATGGTTCTTTAATAGTCCCATGTGTTGTGTATACTGAAATGCTTGTGAGTGAAGGAAGTAAGACTATTAACTGCATGGAGGAACATGGGCATATCAGTCCACATTGTTCCCAGGAACCATACACATTTGATCAGGTTAAAAAATGAAGAGCAACTATACCTTTGATAAAAAAGTATTGGACATATTTAGAACCTTATATAATATCCATCATTACCTTTATGGATACATTTTTACACCCAAAAATCATTTCACAAACCTCCCATAGTATTAAGCATATAAACCTCTCAAACTATCAATAATCGAGATTATGTAATTTATACACTTGATCTGCAACTAAATGTTTTCTATCTCTCTAATATCAATAGGTAAAATTATGGTGTCACCACTCTCACACAAAGGAACAAGTGACTTCATAGATTATTATTTACCATAGGTTTCTAAAGCATTCTTGAAGTTTTTTTGGCAGGTTTTGTGTGCAAGGGGGCTTGGACTTCCAGCATGTGTGAGCATGTTAGTTAGGAACGAATGGAGACAAATGGATTTAAATACTTGACGTGCTGTTGGTGTGTAAGCAAAGTAACATTTATGAAGGGATTCAGGGAAACTGGCAGGCCGGACTTGAGTCCTGGAGATGGAAGTGCAGAGCTTGCACTCTGAAGGAGAGGTGTTAATGTTGCAGTTTTATAACTGTAGTATAATTGCACCTCTGGTAAGACAGTGATGAAGTGAATAATGGTGAAAGTTTTTCTTATTCGGGCCACCCTACCTTGGTGGGAAACAGTCAATGTGTAATAAAAAAAAAAAATATCCAAAACATATACATGTCACATTTACTCTAGACTTACTATCAACTGGTGGAGCTGTGATGCAACACTACTCTGATGGATGCTTTTTGATGTCAACCACAGCTGTATACAACTATATGCAAGCTAATATTTAACATCATCGTTTTTTGCAGTTTGCAAGAAATCAGACACATCCCTCTGAGACAGATTTTAAGAATCTCTGCCAAAGAAAACTATCATAATATAATATGTTCTGATCTCGCAAAAGAGAGAAATTAAAAGATGCTGCTATAGCACATTACATCTTAATAATATCACATAACTTATGACAATATCTAAGTTTATTTTCAACCATTCCAAATATAACTAACTATATCCCCAGCACTAAATCAAAGAAAATGTTATTGTTATCTAAACCAAAGGAAAATATGAGCCCTTACTGCCCACAATTTTAATTAATTTTTATAAACCAACATTTAAAATAGCAAACAGGTTTATAAGTGAGAAATTCCACACGACAACTAGAGGTAAGTTAGGATAGTACTCACATCTGAGTGTTCTCGATGGCTGCTAGAATTCTGGAGTTATCTATATTAATTTTCTGCTTTGGAGTTTTCCTTTGGTCTTCAAGTCCTGTAAGTGTTAATAATAATTGAATGTTTCATGAAAGTTGATGAGTTGAACAATAATGTATACTGTCATAACAAGCAGATGAGTGAAAAGATAATGCAGTAAAGAAGAAGACACAATACTATGTCTGGAACAATTCACAGATACCCAACAACTTAGAAAAAATCTTTTGACAATATTTCAGTCCATCCTGGACTGAAATCGTAGTCGTGGAGATTCAGAATCTCCACGACTACGATGCTCTTCACACCTACTCCAAGGTTGAGGGACTGATTACTTCATCTTCTGTATATAGTCCTACTGTCTTCAAGTTATGTCCTGGAATTTGTATTGATAAAGCCACTGGATGGTGAAACGTCTACAATAAAGACACCCAGATGTTGCACATGTGTCTTAATTTCATCAGGATGTACATTACTCAGGAGAAAAAAGCACTCCCAGGACACAAGCCTATGAAAGACAGGCTAACTCTCATGATTTGTAGTAATGCTAGTGGTGATTGCAAAGTGAAGCCTTTACTCGTGTATCACTGAAAATCCCAGAGTGTTTAAGAAAAACAGTGTCGTCAAGCCTAAATTGTGTATGATGTGGAGGGCAAACAGTAAGGCATGGGTCACAAGGTACATTTTCCTTGACTGGTTCCATGATGTGTTTAACCCCAGTGTGAAAAAATACCTCCTGGAAAATAAATTGGTAATGGACAATGCTCCTGCTCATCCACCAGACTTGGAAGAGTGAATGGTGCCGGAGTTTAGCATCTCCTCCAGCTCATGGACCAGCAGGTCATTTCAAATTTCAAAAAACTGTACACTAAAGCAGTGTTTCAAAAGTGCTTTGAAGTGACCTCAGACACTGAACTGACCCTAAGAGAGTTCTGGAAAGATCACTTCAGTATTCTTACTTGCATAAACCTTAGAGGTAAGGCTTGGGAGGAAGTGAGTTGCAGGACTTTGAACTCTGGAGAAAATTGTGGCCAGAATGTGTACACGAGAGGGATTTTGAAGAGTTTGGGGCTGACCCTGAGGAACCTATGCCAGTTGTGGAATCCATTGTGGCATTTGGGAATTCCATGGTGTTGTATGTGAGTCTGGAGGACGTGGAAGAGTTGGTGGAGGACGTGGAAGAGTTGGTGGAGGACGACGATGAAGAGCTAATCACTACAGAGGTTGAGCTGCAACACCAACAGACCACAGCTCAGGAACTTCCTTCCTTCAGAGGAGGAAGAGAGATGGAGGAAGGTACCTTCTTCCAAGATTAAGGATATTTGTGCAAAGTGGACCGAAGTGCAAACATTTATGGATGAACATCACCCTGAAACAGCTGTTGCAAGCTGTGCTGGCAACATCTACAAAGACAATGTTGTGTCCCATTTTAGGGAAATCTTAAATAGACACCAGAAACAGAGGTCTCTGGACAGATTTTTGGTGTGACAGGGGTCCAGTGACTCTCAAGCTGGTGCTAGTGGCATTAAAAAACAAAGAAGGGAAGTAACCCCAGAAAAGGACTTGGTTCCTGAAGTCTTTATCAAAGGGGATTCCCCTTCCAAACACTAGTACACCTCCATCCTCTCCCCTCCTCCCATCTCATTACTCATCAATAAGTCTTCAATAAAGGTAAGTGTCATTTTAATATTGTTTACTCTGCATGTCTTATTGTTTTCTGTGTAGTGAAATATATATTTCATGTAAAAAAATTATTTTGTTTAATACTTTTGGGTGTCTGGAACGGATTAATTAGATTTCCATTATTTCTTATGGGGAAAATTAATTGGGATTAAGACAGATTCCATATAAGACACGCTCTCTGGAACAGATTAATGTCATTAACCGGGGGTCCACTGTAATAGTATAATAATATAATATAATAATAATAATAATACATATAATAATAATACTTGTATAATAATAATGTACTATATAATAATAATTATAATAACAGACGGCTTCAAAAGATTGTCACTAGATGGCAGTGATTACCACAACAATGCTGGAGCAGTTATGGCTGCCTCCACTTGTCCCCTAATGACATATTTTATTCATTCTAGAGTGTATTTTAGGTTTCAATGTTATTTATATTGTTTATTAGGTCATATTAAATGAATTGTGATACATAAATAAGCCATAGAGTTGATGATAGCGAAACATTCAAGGCATATTTTGTCCTGTCTTTAGACAAACTCTCATCAGCTGCCGACACCGCCACATATATAATAAAGCATTTTATTCATTCTCAAGTATATACAGGTCCGCCATCACAAATCCGGCAATCAGTTATTTGGTTCCTTCAGTTATTCGGCACTAATTTTGGCTAGCATAATTTCAAATTTCCAGGGTCGCCACACCAACCTGCTGGTACTGTTTGGTGACGCTACTTGCTGCATAAGTCATTCTAATTTCTTTTTCTCCATTTATTGTTATAACCTGCTTACTTTTAGCCCTAGCCATGGTTCCAATGAATAAAAGAAATGCTTCTCATTATGTAAAGCACTGACACAGTACATTGTCCATTAAAGATAAGGCGGCTTTGAAGCCACTGTCAGTTGCCATGAGCTCAGCCTCGTGATGCAGGAGAATATGCTTTATTACACTAATATCAACAATACAGCTTATTGCCTATCACAATTAATCTAATATGACATAATAAACAATATAAATAACATAAAACATGTTAAATACTCCAGAATAAATAATATTTGGCATAATACCAAGCAGTTCGATGGAGGTATGAAGAGGATATGGGATACAAGTACCGTTCTCCTATCCCTGTCTTGGGGGCTTATATTAGAGAAAACGGAGTATAGCACATGGCTAACTGTGATATACACTCGTACTGCACCATGTACTTGAAACAAAAAAGCTGTTTTCTCAATATAGATCATCACACATAGCAGCATATGTGTAGAGAACCTAGGATAACCCAAAAAATCAGACAACATGGCTTATTTCTAGTACCTGGCTTGGGTTAGCCATATATGATTTTTGGTAAATATTCGATTCCCAGCCAGGGTAGAATCACTGGGCGTTTCTTTACACCTGTTGTCTATGTTCACCCATCAGTAAATGGGTACCTGGGTGTTAGTCGACTGGTGTGGGTATTATCCTGGGACACTGACCTAATTTGCTTGAAATACTTTGCATAACAAGCAGCTTTCTATATAGCAGTATGTCACTGATGTCAGCTATGTCTGTATCCCATGCACATGTACGTGTAGTAAATTATTATTATTATTATTTTCTCATTTGTTTGTTGGGTTATCTTATTGAAACCTGGGCAATGCATGATGGAGAGATACTTCTTAATGTACACCAAAAATGAAAGAAATCAGACAATAAATAGCGGAGCTCACTTCTCAGCCATTAGCGGCTGCTTAGCGGTATATTTTTGTATGGTTTTTATGGTTATATTCTCGTTTTTTTTGGTCTCATTTGATAGAATGGAAGATATATTACAAAAATAGTTATGATTTGGAATGCTTTCATGACGAAAAGTACCTTGAAACTGCGCTCACAGTAGCAGAAAAGTTCTATTCTTTAGCGATGCTCAAGTAAACAAATGTCGTCACTGTCGAATACCTGTCCACCTGCCAGTCCAAATTCCAATACACAGTCAAGAATGGGTTGACATTATTTATACAATTACAATAATGCAGTAGTCTGCATAACAGTAAATCTTCTATTTTTTGTGTGAATAAAAATTCCAAATGGTAAGCAAGAGTAATATAAGAGGGGCCTGGAGCTATGACAAATGAACAGAGAAAATGTTATTTTAGTGCCAGGAATGTCTGCACTGTCTATTCTGGACCCTATTTTGAAATTGGCATCTGTGAAATTGGCCAAATTGCCAATTTCTGACCACTTTATTGGGTAGTTGAAATAGGTGAATGGGCGGTTTCTTGTACTCAGTCGACAGACTAGAAGTAAGTTTATTCAGGTACTGTACACAAATACAGTTACATAGATTATCATACATAGCAGTGTATGTATAGAGAACCTGGGATAACCCAAAAAAGTCAGACAAAGTGACTTATTTCCAGTACCTGGCTTGGGCTTGCCATGATTTTTCGTATATATTGTTTTTTTTTCTCAGTTGTTTGTTGGGCTATCTCATTGAAACTTGGGCAATGTATGATGGAAAGATGCTTCTTAATGTACACCAAAAATAAAAAAGACGGATGATAAATAAGGGAGTTCACTTCTCAGCCATTAGCCGCCTCTTTGTGGTATATTTTCGTATGGTTTTTATGGTTGCATTCTCGTTTTTTTGGTCTCATTTGATAGAATGGAAGATATATTACAGAAATAGACATGATTTTGATTGCTTTCATCATGAAAAGTACCTTGAAATTGAGCTCAAATTAGCGGAAATGTTGGATTTTTGCCGATGTTCAATGAACTTTGTTTAAGTCAAGTTGGTTAATTTTATTAAGTGTATTCTAACCTAACCACTCTGTAATCCGGCAAACTCAGTAATCCGGCACACTACGGGTCCCAATGATGCCGGATTTGTGATGGAGGACCTGTATCAGGTTTCTATGTTATTTATGTTGTTTATGTCATATTAGATGAATTGTGATAGATAAATAAGCCAGAGTTGATATTAGGGAAATTACTGAAGTATTTTATGGTGCCTGGAATTCCAGTGGAACGAATTAATTCCATTTCAGTTAATTTAAATTGGGAAAATTGACTCTGCAAACGAGCAAATCCAGATGCGAGCAAGGTCACGGAATGGATTAAACTCGTTAGTGGAGGTTCCACTGTATCTGAAAACATTCACTTCTTCCATACTTCCTCCCTCCAATGTGATATCAATTTTTCTTTATCTAAATCATTTGATACCCTGATCACTTTACTCTTATCTATGTTCACTTTCAACTTTCTACCTTAACACGCCCTCCCAAACTCGTTCACTAACCATTGCCACTTTTCTTTAGAATCCTTCAGTGTTGCTAAGGGCTCTCCTCTATCCCTTGTTCTTGCTAACCTTCATATGGAATATTTTAAAACTGTTCTACTTCCTATTAATGGGGTGTGCGCTCCTCTCTGGCTTTGCTATAAATATGATATCTTTGTTCTTTGGCCATATGAAACTAGTCTCTACCTCTACTATTACTACTGTTTTGTTACACTCCAATCTCTGACTCCTGTATCACTACCACTACTACCTTCTTATTGCCACCTCTTCCAGTGTTGCACTACTTATACTATAACTACCTCTACCACTACTTCAACAATTATACTATTACCTCTTGTTCTACTATTGGCCCCACCTCTCCTATTGTACTGCTACCATCCCCTTTGTACTTCTATGTGACTAGTTAATGGTCTAAGTCAAACCAAAACTTCTTAAGTTTCATTCTCCCACATTCCAGCCATGGTAATGTGCCCATTTATTCTTTACCAACCACTCCTTCTCTATTATTGCACATTAACTATGACATCCACAAGAATTATTATACCAGAAGCCCTTAGAAGGAAAACTGTGATATGAAAATAGCTAGGAATATGAAGCCTTAAAAGATGATTGAGTGAGGGGCCACCAACACCCTACCTAGGTCTGTGACCAGCATTACCTTCCCCCCAAAATCCAATATGCCGAAAGCCCAGTAACTCTGGTTACTTTTTTAAACTCTGCCATACTGATGGCTTGGTACATTGGGAGCTCAGTGTTTGGTCAAGAATAAGGAAAGACATGCCACACTGCATGGTATCCACTAGGAAAAAATGGCATTACATTACTGCACTTTAAAAATAACCCTACTTTTGAATGTTATTCCTTGTATAGTGCATTTTTTCTGTGCCTGCCAACTTTCAGGAAAGTAACCAGCAAGTTAGGTGAAGGATTAATATACATTTACCCAAGACTTATGTGGCAAAACTCATATTTTTTGTAACTGAGAAAAAACAAAGCAGATATAAAAAAATCTAGATATTTGTGGATAAAGAGAAGTAATCCTAAGACCGAGATAAAACCGTGTAAACTTAAAAATTAACACAATACCTTTTCGCTTGGTGTACTTAAGAGCTGCTCCATGGAATGCACTAACAGCCCGGAAAAATGCCCTTAAAATAGACCAGCGAAACACAGCTACAGGATCAGCTCCAGCTACTTCTCTTACAATACTATAACGACTGTTCTTCAGTACACATATCAACTCAGGCCGCATAAGATCTAAGTTTTTTTCTCTAAAATCATGAACCTGCAAAAAAAAAAAAAAAAAAATTAGAAAAATATTAGAAAGTAAAATTATATCAACAAATTTTTTTATACAGTAGGGCCCCGCTTTACAGTGTTTCGCCTCACTGTGTTCTGCTAATACATATGGCAATTTCAAATCATGACCAAAATTTGCTATATGGCAAGCAGTCTTTCAAATACAGCACACCCCACCCAGTTTGTTTACATTCTCCATGAGCACATATCTCTATTATGTCTGGAATTTTTTCAAAATTTCAAGTGCTTTAACCCTTTCAGGGTCCGTGCCGTAGATATACGACTATAGGTTGAGGGTCCAAACCATAGATCTACGCCATGAGCTCAATTCACTCTGATAAGCTCTGAGTGGTAAATTTGGGCCTAGATATGAGAGAATACGTCTATGTGGTATGTGTGCGCCACGTAAAACAAATCCTGCAACACAGTGCATAATGAGAGAGAAAACAGACCATAATTTTTTATTAAAACAGCGACTTTGCAGTGTTTTTTCGTTGCTTTTTTATAACTGTATTTGCGATTTCTTGGTCTCATTTGATTAAAGGGAAGATAAATTACAGAAATAGAGAAGATTTTGATTGGTTTTAGCACTGGAAATTGCTTGAAACTTAGCTCAAAGTAGCAGAAATGTTCGATTTTTGCTGATGTTCAAGAGTAAACAAATGACCTCACACGTCTAATACACGCCAGCTGGTGGGTCTAATATACGTTCACAAATGTGGTGATATTATTTATGCAATTATTGCAATATTGCATAACAGTAAATCTATTTTTTGGTTTGAATAAAAATTCATTATGTGAATAAAAAATCAAAATGGAATTCATTTGTAAAGCCTGAACAGAGGAAATGTTAGTTTAGTGCCAGGAATGCCTGCATTGTTTATTCTGGACCCTATTTTGTAATTAGAATATTTTGAACTTTGCGTTAAATTGGCCAAATTACCAATTTCCGATCACTTTATTTTGTAGTCGGAACAGTTGACTTAGCGATTTCTTGTGCTCAAATGACAGAATAGAACTAATAGTGGTGAAATAGCTAAGATTTTGGTCGATTGAAATAATGTAATTTGCCTGAAATGGGAGTCAAAGTCGGCAAAATCGCCGATGCGTAAATATCACCGACACATCAACATTCGCGAGAACATAATTTCATCAATTTTCCATCAAATTTCGTACTTTTTGTTTTATTACCTTCAGAAAAAGATTCTCTACCATTTCATAAGAAAAATAACAAAATTATTTTTTGAAAATTCTTGGACCCTGGTGTGCACTTTGAAATTTGACCTCTGGACCCTGAAAGGGTTAAAGTTATTGCATATTTTATATGTACTCTGATAATTATACCTGTGTGTACCTGTACATAAATATACTTACACACTGTGCTGGTGTGCAGGTACACATTAAAATCACTAAGAATGTCTCTACTCTTGACCCGTTAACTGTCCAAATGTATATCTAGGTTCCTAACACTAGCGCTCCAAACATAGATCTACGCTTTATTTTTCCTGCCTCCAAATTTGGTACGATTGGCCTAAGATGCCTGATCAGTATAGAATGGGCCTTAACCCTTGGTGTGTACAGTATTAAAAAAAATTTGGGACCACTTAGTACCTTATGGAAGCACCAGTTCGACTGAGCGCCAGCTAGAGCAAACAGCACAGCAAACACCAAGGATTCACTTATGTCATGTCGTATTAACACTCCCCTTTTAAGAGGAAAGTGTCATCCTGCCAGAATGTCCTATAACCTATGCCCTAAGTAAAGAGAAACAATTCTGGAACTGTAATTTCGGCGGATGGCTGGCCACCTGGCTGGCCGGCAGCTGGCTGGCTGATTAGCTGTCTCTATTTATCTCTGTGTCTCTGTCTCTGTCTCACAAGAACACATACGTAAATACAATTATACATGGTGTAAATTACCTAGGATAACCCAAAAAATCCAGACAAAGTGCTATACTCTGCCTGTAGACAGAGATCATGCATAATACCAGTTGGTTCATGAACAACTCTTTGAGACAAGAGAGACAAGCAGACAGAAAGAAACACACCGGCAGAAAGAAAGACACACAAATAGATAGACAAGACAGACATATTTATGTGTAACAGTGAAAACAAATAAAGTGAAGGCTCATCAAATGTCACCACTGTCATTAGTGGGGTGATAAGACAAGAAAACACTCATCAAATGTCACCATTGTCAGCAGTGCAGTGATAAGGTAAATATTCGGAGCGCTTGGTGAGAGAACGTAGATCTACATTTGGACAGTTAACGGATTAAATGTTGTATATTATGCTAATATAGACATTTCTATTAATCCATCTATGATATTTTTATCAAAATTATATGATAAACGCTACAGAAAGTATAAACATGATACATACTATTTATTATTATTATCACACTGGCCGATTCCCACCAAGGCAGGGTGGCCCGAAAAAGAAAAACTTTCACCATCATTCACTCCATCACTGTCTTGCCAGAAGGGTGCTTTACACTACAGTTTTTAAACTGCAACATTAACACCCCTCCTTCAGAGTGCAGGCACTGTACTTCCCATCTCCAGGACTCAAGTCCGGCCTGCCGGTTTCCCTGAACCCCTTCATAAATGTTACTTTGCTCACACTCCAACAGCACGTCAAGTATTAAAAACCATTTGTCTCCATTCACTCCTATCAAACACGCTCATGCATACCTGCTGGAAGTCCAAGCCCCTCGCACACAAAACCTCCTTTACCCCCTCCCTCCAACCTTTCCTAGGCCGACCCCTACCCCGCCTTCCTTCCACTACAGACTGATACACTCTTGAAGTCATTCTGTTTCGCTCCATTCTCTCTACATGTCCGAACCACCTCAACAACCCTTCCTCAGCCCTCTGGACAACAGTTTTGGTAATCCCCCACAGTATAAAAATTCACATAAATGTAAGATTTATTTTCCAAGCGGTCAGAAGAATTATGTTTTCTCTAGTCAAACACCAGTAACTTAATTAGAAATTTATTACTTTCGTAAGCCTTCACTCTATCTATAACTATTCATGACCCTTGTGGGTTTATTATGATTATAATAATAATTTGTAATAATAATAATTTGTAATAATAATTTGTAATAATAATGTCATAATAATAATAATATTTTGCCAGAGCATCATTCCTTCTAAAAATTACATGAGAATAGAAGTGTTGGTCTTTATTTATTCTACTGTACCACTGTGGGGACAACTTATACACAGTGAAAGGTGTTTGTATGAATGTTTATGAACCATAACTAGACGCTTCGTCTGGTTATGGGGAAGTGGCCAGGCGGGCTACCCTACCCTACCTCCCACGCGACTTTCTACAAATACTTTTCACCCTACATTAAGACCACAAATATATTAAGGTAAGTAATGAGTGCAATGTATATGCATTTTATCACTCTAGGGAACTTTAAAGCGTCGTAGTATATTATGTGTGGGTGGGGTGGCCTGGAGGACTACCACACCTGACTTCTTACAGTAAATACTACTCACCTTTTGCCCTAAATTAAGACTACAAATATTTTGAGATAAATAATGAGTGTACTGTGTGTGTATTTTAATTTATACTGTTTTTTAATACCTAGTTCTATTGCTAACTTAATATATGTTAGTGTAAACTTGTTACCTGGCATTTATATGCATTTATAAGTGGGAAAAAATGGCATTCTGCTTTCTGGCAGAAACCTGGAACCTAACCAGCCATGTAAGTGGGGCCCTACTGTATACCAAGACTGATTCATGCTAACATCCACTATACACAACATTCTTCAAAATTTCTTATCTGCAAAGATTTTCTCACCCTACTAGTTTCCCCACCTAACTCTTGCAACTTATCAATTTCCATTTTTTTCTCTTTTCTTTTTATCAACAAACCGGCCGTATCCCACCAAGGCAGGGTGGCCCAAGAAGAAAAACGAAAGTTTCTCTTTTTAAATTTAGTAATTTATACAGGAGAAGAGGTTACTAGCCCCTTGCTCCTGGCATTTTAGTCGCCTCTTACAACACGCATAGCTTACGGAGGAAGAATTCTGTTCCACTTCCCCATGGAGATAAGAGGAAATAAACAAGAACTAGAAAGAAAATAGAAGAAAACCCAGAGGGAGCGTGTATATATATGCTTGTACATGTATGTGTAGTGTGACCTAAGTGTAAGTAGAAGTAGCAAGATGTACCTGAAACCTTGAATATTCATGAGACAGAAAAATGGACACCAGTAATCCTACCATCATGTAAAACAATTACAGGCTTTCGTTTTACACTCACTGGGCAGGACAGTAGTACCTTCCTGGGTGGTTGCTGTCTACCAGCCTACTACCTATAATCAATTTCCATTTATCTTATACAATATAAACTGATTACCATATACATATTTCCTTCACCTACATACCAAACTTCTCTCAAATAGTGTATTCTTAATTTATTAAGTACTGTAACACCATTTCAACATACTGTACCTCATTTAATGCTTTAAAAAATGCCTAACTTTATGGAGTAAAGTGTCAAAATTAATTTTATTGGATAACCAATAAATAATTTCAATGGGGAAGTGGAACAGAATTCTTCCTCCATAAGCCATGCGTGTCGCAAGAGGCGACTAAAATGCCGGGAGCAAGGTGCTAGCAACCCCTTCTCCTGTATATATTACTAAATTTGAAAGGAAAAACTTTCGTTTTTCCTTTTGAGCCACCCCACCTCGGTGGGATATGGCTGGTATGTTGAAAAAAAAAAAATAGTTTTTCCTTTTGGGCCACTCCGCCTCGGTGGGATATGGCCGGTGTGTTGAAAGAAAGAAAGAACTAATAAATAATATAAAAGAGCTGTCTAACATAACTTAAGTCTTGTCACTTAGTTTAGGTCTCATCACCAATGCTTCACACGGGATAGGGAAAATTCTTGTTAGGAAAACAGTGAAACATATAAGTGAACAGTATTTAGATAAGGCTAAAGAGGTCTTTGTGGCATTTATGGAT